AACATTAGCAAAATTAACTAGAATGTAGAATTTTGATAGAGGATATAATTTTTGTGTTGAACAATATTAGCTGCAGTAGACAGCGTCTGACCGTAAGAAGCGCACTGAATGTCAAACTCTGCTCATAAAATTTATCATATTTTTGTAAGCGCTGGATATCGCTCTTTCTACCTTTGCATAAAGATTAATAGATATTTTATCTTCATTTTCACAAAGTTACAACATGGTGTGCGAAATGATGCATTTTTTTATATATCACGATTGAAATGATTAACTTCAATATTAAAAATGAATCAATATTAAATGAATTCAATATTAAAAGTGAATCCTGTAAATCTAATTTTTATTGTATATACTTGCAACTTTCTAATATACTCTTTATTGGAAATAAAACTACACAGATGAGATATTAGACAGGGAACATCATTTTCATGATAAAAAATTGTTTCAACGCAAAATCAGTTATATCATTTGGAGGGTTATAACAGCCAGCTATTCTGTACTTCGCATCACGTGTACATTTGAATTCACTTATCTCCGTGATACAATTGGATTACAACTTATTAATTTGGACCTTTTAGAAAATATATTGAAAACGGGAGCCGAAAATTTCGCTTTTTATTTTTTCCTATTTTGGCCACGCTTAGCGATTTCTGCAACACTGTGCGCCGCGCCGGACATGAGCCCCGCGCGAGATTCAACGCGCGACAAAGTTGGCAGAAACCAAAATATTCAATCCACCCACCCCTCCCAGCCGCCGAGCTCGCGAGCACAGTCATCGTGATTAAGAAATTAAACGCGAGACTCACCGGCTTCGGTGGGGGTAGAAAACGCGAGGCTCCGCGCGCGTATCGCGTAAATGAATAATCGTCACTTTAAATAAAACATCCAAGAGGCGCGTAAAAAGCCGAGGTTACCACTAATTACGGCTACCTGAAGTAAACACCTGCCCGCCCGTAAAACCAGTATTGCTTGTTATGCCACAAAGTAAGCGCGCAACGTCGGCCGCTTGCGGCTGTCGTTGCCGCGGCGACGTGCGCGTGTAGGTAGGTAGGTAGGTAGGTAGATAGGTAGCTACGGGTATCCTGCGTGTGCGTCAAAAGACTCGCACTTGCAACCTGGAGCTCTTTCGGCCACTCGACAATCAAGCCCGGAGAGAGATCCGTGCGAAACCGCTCGGTTCTCGCGACGGGGAGAAAGAGAGAACGCTCTCGACGCCGCGAGATCGCGGCTCAATGCTGCACCATGTCGCGTAGCGGCAGAACGCCTCGTCATCGTTCGCGCGCGCGCGCGCGAGAGAGAGAGAGAGAGAGAGAGAGAGAGAGAGAGAGAAAGAGAGAGAGAGAAGATAAGAAGAGGAAGGAAGAGAGGGATGCGTCGATTTTGCGCTTAGCGTCGAGACGCTTACGCGCACGGCGCGGCGGATTCGTGCGGAGCGGTCGAGAGGCACGCAGGAAATTCCACGAAGCCGCGAATTAGTGTGAAACCGTCGGGACGTGGTCCGGGCTATAGAGGAGCATGATGGCTACGGAAGACGTTCGGAAGGGCGGCTGCTGCACGGTCTGCCGACCGCAGCACGCGACACCATATGGTCCGCCGTGACCTCTGCGCGCGCACACAAACGCGACGCTCGCTTCACGTAGCCCTGACGAAAAGACTCGCGAAGTTGCGGGATCCTGACCGAGCCGGCAGGATCCTTCCCGAGCGCGCGACGGGCCTTCGAGAGGCCGCCGGCGGCGGTCGACGCGGCGGAAATTCGTACTCGCGTTATTCCCCGCACCGCCCTCCGGCGACTCTTCCGCGGGGAGGTAGGAACAATGTAGACGCGGACGTACGCAGTGTCCTGAACACCACCGGATGTCCTTTCAGGCGGAGACACGCCGGAGCGCGGATTAAGAAAAGCGAGACGGTCTCCGTGCAGGACGTCGAGCAGGTTATGTCGAAAAATTTCAAAATCTCGTCGCGCGAGAGTCGCTCTTCCCGATCGATCACTTGCTCGCGCTCGTTCGACGCTCGAGGAATCGAAAGAGGCGGCAAAAGTCGATCGCGCAATTTCGTCGCGGGATTTAGGGTGTAAGGGTGACCGGGGGCGGAGTCACCCGGCGATTTCCCGGAGTGCGCTATAAGGACGGCGACGACGACAGTCGCGGGAATTCGCACGAGCAAACGCAGCGGACGCGTTGATTATGCGAGTCAGCGAGCCGTGGCCGAGCCGAAAATTACGAGACACGGAGCGCGGTCTTCCGATGCGGCGCGAGGGTTACTTATTCCCTTCGGAAACGGCGCGAAATGTTTTTTTTAACACCACCACCATCACCACCGGTTCGGCACGGCCGGCGGCGCACGTTCGATGGTGAGAGGGAAACGCGAGAGGGAAAGCGGACGATGCTAACGATAAGTGAAATTCCCGTAGGAGTCGCTCGGGAGCGCGGTTACGGCACCCTCGAGGACGCCGTCGGTGCCTATATCCTAATAGAAACGTAATCGCGTAGTTTCGCCCGCTGAATAAATTATCGCGGTAGGCTTGCACGAGTCGAGGGGTCGCCGGTAACGCCGTATCGCGTGGATTAGTGGCCGATCTTCAACGGCCGTTGGGACACGGCCGTGGATTTATCCGATAATCTCCTCCCTCCTCGCACCCTCGCGCGACTCCGTTCCATATTAGTTATCGTTTTCATGTCTGTGATCCGTCCCGACGACCGTCGAACGATAAGGATAACGTGTCCAACCTCGTCCAATCGTTTCGCTTCTGATCGATACGATCGGATACACGGTCGCGCGTATATCAGGACGATTCGCGGCTATTTGTAAATTGTAACGCGACGCTCTCAAGAATGCGCGGCGAGAATTCGTCCAACGACGCGGACTATGAATGTCGACATCCAGACGGATTTCTCAAGTTCTCAAGGCTAAAGCAGATTCTTTATTTCGGCTCGGGTATCTCCCTCTTGTCGGTTGATTCGCTCAAGTCGGATCAAATTGAAAATATCTCGTATATAAGGGATAATTTGAGACACACCTGGATACGTAATCGCTGTCCGCGTTTCGGAGTCCTGTGTCCTCCTTCCCGGCCAACATCCCGCCATCTCGGCTGCTTCGTCGTCGTGCTCCGGGTGCTCACTGACACTCGCGCGCGTACGATTCGCGACCGTACGGAGAAACGTGTCGACTGACGCGATGCCGACGAGAGGCCGGTCGGATAATTCGCGAAATAATTCGCGGAGCGCACGACATATTTTTATCCGCCGGCCGGAATGACGCGTCGATACACGCACTCTGCGATACGCGCGTCGCCCGTCGGCTCGAAACATTAATGACACGAACACGGAAACACGCGACAGCAATGAGCGAAACAATGGGCAAAAACAATTACGTCATCTCCCACCAGCGGCTAAATCGACATTCAGTACAAGCGAGAGAGATCACAACAATCAACGCTTCCAAAACATACCGGACATTCGAGGTGACCCAAGTCATCAGGAGCGTCGCACGCGCCGTACGTGCCCGAGCCGAAATTTCAAATCTACCGTAAGTCTCGCAAGTGCCAATTTGTATCTCCGACTCCCCCTTTCGACTCCCCCCCCCCCCAGAGCCGATTGAATTGCTCACCGTTAATGAAATGTAACGCTAAACAGATTATGGAGAAAACAAGTTGCTTGTTTGCTCAATCACTTATTATCTCTTAATGTCTTCTTGTCGCATTTGTCCACTGGCGTATTTTATTTGTATGTATAGAGGATAATAAATTTAATGCTACACCTCGAGGTATTCCTCATCGGTGCTTCAAGTTGGATAAAACTTTATCGCGGGAGCAAATTTCAATGCGGCGCGGATGATTGAATCGCGCGTCTCGGCGATGAAAGAAGTCCGCTGCTTCTTCCTCGAATTTCGCGACCACGACACCTCGGAATTTTGCGCGACACGTTTCGGTGGAAAAAAGCGCGAGGGCCTTGGCGGATTCGCGCGCGCGCACGATTTATCTGTTAATAAATCAGTTAAATGGATACATCGGTGGGATTTATACAGCTGCCGGCCTGTTTGATCGTCGGAAGACAATTTGCTTCTCTTTGTGCGAAAGTCACGCACAGCGAACGACAAATATTGAATTTCTTACAATCGATCGATATTATATCTGTCTACCGATAGGTCTGATCTCTCTTGCGTCTTTCACGCGTACAAACGCGCCTATGTGTCTATGTGCACGCAGGTACGCGTAATAAACGTAATTCATACGCCATCTCTCAACGGGACTAACGCGAGACCCTAAACAACAAATCCGACGCGCCGCTGCGCCCGGCGGTTCTCGATTGTTGTGTTTATTTTCGCGGATCCTCGTTTGCGCGATGTGAGACATTGAATTACAAACTGCCGCCTGTAATAGTATACGCGCGCTGTGTCGCAACGGGTGTCGAATTTTTGGCGCGCACGCACTTTCGTTAACCGGATCGTGCGTCGGCCCGTTCTCGCGAATGTATAGAAAGAAACGCCGTGTGAACAAATATTATTTCGCACTCGCTGTCATTGATTCGTCGCGACTCTCATCTGTCGACACGCAACGCAATATGCACGATTGTCGTCGATTCTTAATGTATTTTATCGTCGGGCAGGTTGCGGGCTAAAACTCACCGCGGAGAGTATTTGCCCGGCGAATTCTCAACATGCGCGAATAATTTCACGTCCGATCACGCCTGCTTCCAAGGTGGAAAGTTTCAAGCGGACGGAGTCAAAGCTCCCGGGGAAACATCGCGCGCGCTTCGCGCCAACCGGCCTATGCGCCGGCATGGTAAAATCATCATCATCCTCAATAACGCCGCTCGTAAAGATTACGATCGCGAGCGTTTTCTGAGACCATTCGAGCGCGCCTCTCGCGCTCGCGTTCTTACGGGCGCCGATGAGGCGGCCGCCCGTAAGAACGCGCGCAACTTATGACTTAACCTAATTACGCGGGCGACTCTCGCACAACACGTGATGTAATATGTATATTTCTTTTCATCACTCACCCAATGCTGCGCCGGGCCCACTTCCCCGTCCGTTCCGTCCAGGCCCTGCGGGGAAAAAGCAATCGAGGTTGTCGTTAGAGAAAAAGCGCTGCGATCCGAACGCGCTGCGCGAAATTACGTTCACGTGATCGTCGTATGACACGCCGGTGATTCGATTGCAATCTCTAAACGCAGCGACTATCAATCGGGAGATTCGAGAGGTGCCTAATCGTTGATCGAGTGAGTCACGCTTGTTTTCGACGTTTCGTCGGAAACACATGCGACGCCGTGAAAAAGAGCGCGGAGAGCTAGTCGCGACAGAAAAATTCAAAAAAAAAAAAAAAAAAGAGAGAGAGAGAGAAGAAAATGAAACTTTACGTGCAACGATGTTATTGAAACGCGATTTTCCGCGTTATTGTCGCGTTATTATTCCCGGTTATTATCGCGATAATTGTCGCGGCAAGTCGAATAGAATAACATAACATGAGAGACACTTACGTCCTTTTTCCTCTTCACAGTTGCGGCACCTGGAATCAAATTGCAAAATACACTTTTAACGGAAGGCTGACGCAATCAACGAGAAAGAATACCGTCCGATACGATAAAGATTAATGCAATGTTATAAATGTAGCGGCAAATAAAATTCTTGAGTCTCTCGTTGCGATTACAACATGCGACTTTTTTCTCGAATTTTACTTTCCCCTTCGACTGAATTCACGTTATACTACAAAATTTGTCCGTCTCACGTCTCTCGATAAAAATAATAATTGATAAGAGAAAGACTCACCGGCAGTGGGATTAGGTAACCGGGCGCCGTTGGTACCAGTAGGGGCGGCCGGGTTTACAACAGGGGTGGGGGTGCCTCCGGTGACGGGTACACCCCTGGTCCCGAACGGAAAATACGGCGAGTCCGGGGGATATGTAGCGCCCTCGACGCCTCCGCTACCACCGCCGCCGCCGCCACCGCCCCCGCCGCCCCCGCCCCCTCCCGGCCCCCCACCCGGTCCACCCGCCGTAGGACCGAATGCACCACCACCGTACGCCTGAAACAGAAAACGAAATCGAAATGTCCTTTTTCGTCCCTGAATCCTCGCTCCTGTACGCGCCTCATGCAAAAAGGAGAAGAAAGAACAATCGCGACATCGCGCGCGTGTTATCGCGCCGACAAATTATCAAAACATCGATATACGGTAATGACGATACACGGGTCGTGTCGTTTGTTCGTCAAATATCCGAGCGACGATAACGACGGTCGTCGATGATAAAAGTATCACGAAATCGTGTAACGTTAGAAACGCTATAAAGGGAGAGAGAGAGAGAGAGAGGGGGAGAGAGACAGAAAGGGGGATTTGTGCCGATTGAACTTCGACTAGAGACTCGCGCTGCATCGATTACAGATAACTGTCGCAAATTATTTTCGGGAAAAGAAGAGGAGGAGAAGGAGAGAATGACACACATACACACACACACGCACACATGTGGGGAGGGATGCAAACGGAGGAAACGCGACAGCGATAACTTGCCGAGGCGGCTCAATAAATCGTCCATCGAAATCGATATTCCTTATCGGACACGGTTTAACGACTGCCGCCGATTAGATACCGCTTTTCCTCTCTCGCTCTATCTCCGACTCTCTCGCAAAAATCTAAGCCGCATTCGTCTCGTTACAGTGTCGTCGTCATGTAGATAACGTGTGTAGGAATCGATGCGAGCTGGCGAACTGCTACGCTACGGGCAAAAAGTACGACGGGACGAAAAAAAAAAAGAACAGCGGATTGTTAATCACGTTGAATGGGTGTGGGTGCAAGGTCGCCTCCCTCACGTTTCGCGCGCGTGTACACGGTGACCTTTCGTGTGCAAAAAAAGCGTGACATGTGCGGCGCTCGACACGCATACACACGCATACGTCGATCTTGCGCGAGAGACTGATAAGTCGCGGCTCCCGTTCGTCACATTTGCACGCGCAATGAGAATTTCGGAAGATGGGTGCAATAACCCGGAAAAAATGCGATGCTCTTTTGAAAGATTTCAACGGGAGCGACGGGACGGCGAGACGACTCCTGTGCACTCTTTTCTCGTAGATTGCACGCGCGTCTCTTGATACGCGTATATAGATCGTCACGGATGAGAAACAGCGTAAGTGATATTAAAGTTGGGACGTTGACGACGCTCAACCACGTGTGTCGACGATGATGTTGCCAGGGGGAGACGCGTGAATGCGGGGAAAAGAGGTGTAACTTTTCTTCGTTATATGCCGCGACAATCGCGATTATCGCCACCACGCGTACATCGTAAACGTTAATCGTAAATTAGTTGATAATTCAAGTTACAAAAGGTCGGTATGGTGTATCGAATTTGAGTTAATTCCAAAAATGGCAAAAATGAAGGATGGATTTATATCAGGTTGAGATTAGTGAATTCTCCCTCTCTCTCTCTCCCTCCCCCCCCCTCTCTCTCTCTCTCTCTCTAACTATCTAACTATCTATCTATCTATCTATCTATTTCTTTGCCACGTCAAGCGCGTCAATGTGGGACAAGTACTTTCCTGAGAAATGTATCTTTTTCGTCGCGTCGAGAAATGAGAACCACTCTCCGAAAATATCACTCGAGGCAAAGTTTTGGGATTACGTCGGGGGTTGCGGGAAAAGAAAGTGAGAGAGAGAGAGAGAGAGAGAGAGAGAGAAAGAGAGAGAGAGAGAGAGAGAGAAGAGAAAGGAAAGTCGTGCGGCGCGGAGCGAGTAACTTTTTCTTTTACTACTTTTTCTTCTATAAATTTGCTTCTACGACTGCAATAATTATTACGCTCCTATTTCTTACATAATCCTGCCTCGTTTAGAGGTTCAAGTCGGCCACACAAAGGAAAAGGAATCTCGAATATTCCAACTTCTCCCGCACGTCGCGCCGGTAGCACCGGAAAATAGAAAGAGAGAGAGAGAGAGAGAGAGAAAGAGAGAGAGAGAGGGGGGGAAGGAACAAAGCACGGCTAATACACGGTGCAAAATAAATCGACGCAAAGTCATACGTGAAGGTCAATATGAAAAGATCACTCACCATCCCGTTGTCTATCGTGGAACTGTACGGCGTCTGAAAGCCTGGTTTTTCTGAAACAGAAAATAAAACAAAAATCTATAAGGATTTCTGCGTTGTAGGCAACAATGTGCTTCGTATCGAGAAGCGCAACGAATTCACAAACGTCGGCGCAGTCGGAAACGCAGCACGCGGTCTGTGCAAAAATCGCGCGAGGTTATTTATCCATCCTCCGCTCCGTCGGTACTTAATAATTATGTATGTCACACAGACACGGTGTGTGACATAGTGCGCACAGGGTACTGACATAAATTTAACATTCTGCATCTTACCGGCGCGCCGTAATCCACCGACCAATAAAAGCACAGACGTCTCTCCGCGATACTAAAAGGAAAACAAAGGGGAGGAAATCTGAAAAAATATCCGCAGTATCGGTCGGGGATAGAAAAAAAATAGGGGGAGGGAGAGGGAGAGGGAGAGACAGAGAGAGAGAGAGAGAGAGAGACAGAGACAGAACATATTCCACATCTAGCCCGCAATATTCTTGGCGCGTGAGTCGCTGAGGAGAAAAAGGGGGACGGGCGAAAGGAAGTTCCCCTCTCTCGCGAGGAGTCGATGCAAAATTAATGTCGGGCATAAATTCGCGATGCGTCTTTATAAATCAAAACCGCGATCGCGCTAAGAATCCGCACGCGGAGATATATATGCGTTTTCCACGTTGCGGCTGGTACGCACGCGGAATAAACAACGAGATAAACATTACGAGGTTGCCGCACTACGGGGCTTCATCCGTTATTAATGCCCACCCCGTACAAACACGTAGGAGCCACTCGCGGCCGCGTGAAGGAACCTATGCGCGCCGCCGCGTCTTGCGGACCGAGAATTTATGAGGATCGGCTGGATTTACGTTTCGAAAAGCGCCCGGAAAGAATTGTAGGGCGACGCGCCGCCGTATCGAGATTAATTTTCATTCGACGAGAGATACGCGCAACGGCAACACGCGCGCTCTTCCGTATTATCGACGCGCCTCCCTCCCACCTCTTTCTCCTCTACGTCCCTATTACATTTCATTCGTATATGTCAAAATTACACGCTCTCTCTCTCTCTCTCTCTCTCTCTCTCTCTCCCTCCCTCTTCCGAGATATTCATCGCCCGTCTTCGATAAACCCGCTAGCTCGCGCGAGAACAAGTTCTCGCTGTCGAGATACAACAAAACGCCTCGCGATGATCGGAATTTAATGAGAAACTGCGCTGTTGAACAACGCGTCGAGTGTCGAGACGGCAATCGGTGCTGTAATGACCGCTGCGTCTCGTAAATCCATGTATAAGATGCAAATGATTGCGTGCAACAAATAAAAAGCACGGGTCAATAGGAGAGCCGACAGACACACGCACGTGTTTAGCAGATATATCTGAATGATATCTGAATCTACTGAAATTTTTATTAAATTCTGAAATCATGGAAATCAGAGCGCACAGCAGCAGCACTGTGTGTCAACGAGACACACAGTGGATGCGATTGAAATTTCAGCGAAGGAGGATACGCGTCGAAGGAGGAAGAACAAGTCGCACAGGGACGAGCTTTCCCTTCTCCCTCGCATCCCTCGAAATCCCCTTGGCGATCGCGAAATTCGCCGTCCTCTCGGGAGATCGCGAAATGACGTCGCGTTCTGAAATCCACCGGTCAGATAGCGGCGCGGCGAAATATGCGTGCGCGCGCATCGGAGATGTACGTATTATACATTATGGAGAGTATAGTCGCGCGTGGACGATAGGGCGAGTGTCCTCGGACGGGCACGATCGCCCGAGATAACTATGAATCCTAACAGTTTCGGCTTGCTCGTGACATGTTTGCCGAAGCGTGCGGCACCGACTCCGCAATATCATGCATCAAAGGACAAGCTAAACCATGGTCCATCGTGTCATCCTCAGAGCCGGTGCAAGCCCGCTCGACCGTTATGACGTAGTGCTGAGCGCCGGGCCTCCATGTCACGACTAGTTCGTCTTCCGCGTTGCCTCTGCCGCCGTCATCCGTTCGGTAATTGTTCGATGAAGAATTAGCGGGAATACTGGCCGCGAGGTCTGGCCGCGTTACGAAGCGCCGACGGACGAGCGCGATTCGCGCACGACTCGCCGAGTCACACACAGCCGAGAGACAGAGCGCGCAAAAATTGGCAAAGGTCTCGGAGGAGGACGGTTCTCGCGCGCACGGTACTCGTTTGTTCCTTATTATATCACGAAACCTCATTGATGTTTCTTGTTTTCTTCTTCCTAGAGTTCGAACGGTTGAGAGTCGCTCTCGATGACTCTGAGCTCTCTGCTGCGGTAGATTACTTACGCGGACGCAGGGAAAGTGACAGCCCGCGGCGACGGGGAATTCGTTACGCATTACACGCGCGATATCCGGCGCGATAACATCTCTACACGGCGATTCCGCCGTGCCGACATCAATTCGGCATTACACCTCGCGAACCGTGCGATGCGACACGACCTCGAAAACCACCGATACGCCGGGCGATTTTCGAACGCGCGCGACCGCGACGCCGCGGTCGTGTCCCGACTCGCCGAAAATCCGCAAAGTACTGATCGCGCGCGCGTATTATATTAATATAGAAGAGACTCTCTCGCGCGGCGCGGCGCGGCGCGACGGAGGCGGTCGAGTGCTAGGTATTTTGTCAATTGTTAGTTCGCAGTCGGCTTCAACCGCGCCATTATCGACACGTGACTACGCTCAGCCGCGGATACACTTGTGTAATCTTTCACACCTGCCGCGAGGAAATCTCTAATGAAATTATCGAGTTCCTTCGTGATCTCTCCCTCTCTCTCTCTCTCTCCCTCTCCCTCTCTCTCTCTCTCTCTCTCTCTCTTCCCTCCCTCTCTCTTTGTTCCTTTCTCTCTTTCTCCCTCCCCCTCTTGGCGATAGAACGCAAAGGATACGAGTGGCAGGATTAATCGCCGTCGTGAAATCCCGATCCCGCCGATAACTCACCGAGTGAATTCGCTTCGATAAAGTTGAGCTCTCACGCGGCGAAGATTACGCCTACCTACCTACCTACCCCACCCCATCACCAGCCACCCAGTCACAAAACCCTTGGAGTCTTGGCGAAAAATCGCGCGACGTCACCGAGCTTCGAGTCTAACCGTCTAACCGCCGAGCGTCGCGCGCAACGACGTTCGCAATCGAATAAAAAACGCGAAACGCGAAAAGTGGAGTATCCGCGGCGGCTGGACGCCGGGGTCAAAACTGCTGGACACTTTCAGCGTTGACGATCTCATAAAAAAAGAGACATTCGCGCGCGCGCGCGCGCCCGCGGCGATCCTGGGGCAAAAGTGCGCGTAAAAAACGCGGGAAACGCGAGAGCGACAAATAGACAGGCGCGGGTGCGAACGGTCGCGACATCGACGTATAATACCGCGGCCTGTTCTGCATTTCGCGCGGCCACAAAAAATATGGCCCCCCGGCCGGAGATTCCGCGATTTCATGTCGCGGGCCGCGCGATGGCCGCCGCTCCGAGAGGAGGAGCGGGAGGGAGGACGGAGGGAAGGAGGAGGATTTCCAACGTTACGCGCTACGTTCGTCACGCTGTGGGGGCTTTATCGCCGGGGGTTAACGACTGTAATTGCGGGAAAGAACACGCCGAATCGTTAACGAGCGGTCGAGAGTGAGAGAGAGAGAGAGAGAGAGAGAGAGAGAGAGGGGGGGGGAGAGAGAGAGAGGGAGAGAGAGGGAGAGAGAGAGAGAGAGAGCGGCCGGGTGGCCGGCCGGCCAGCAGGCCGTGAGAGAAACGCGATCCACGTGGGCGAGGCTGATCGTCTGCGAATTTTGAAAATTCATGAACGACAACAGCGCGCACAAAAGGACACGGTTATACCGTGGCCGCATTAAGGACGCTCGATCGAGCGTACTTAATGCGCGCGCTCGGGTTGGATGACCGCGCGCCCCGCGGCGTCTAGACCTTAACTCTTCACCTCCGCCACGTAGAGAAGAGCTCTTTCCCATTGAAAAATAATCCCCCGGTATTCCCTCGGTGTTCCGGCATTCACCCAACCCCGTCGGCAGGCACTCCCGCCGGAGACCGCCTCAAAGGAATTTCCTAATTTCATGCATGGTTCAGTGAATCACGTCTAATTGCACCGAGGAGCCCGGTCTCCGTATCCGTCGATACGCGAGACCGCGCTCCGGATGCCTGACCGAAAAGACATCGCAATAAATCGCGGCGCGATGTCGCCGCGCGATGATAACGAGCAGGCAATATCTCTCGGATAAGTATCGCGCACAGACCCGCCGGATTTATCAATTTCGTTGAATGAAGAACGAGGCGATAATAAGGAAAAGAAAGAAATCAAAGCGGAGCTTTGACGATGTGGGACGTAACGAGAGAAACGTCGCGGGAAGGGTGAGAAGGAGAAAGGGGAAAGAGAGGAGGAGGACCTCACTCGAGCAAGACGAACGGCGTACAGGTGAATCGCGGCGAGCCGGTTTTCACGTTTGGCTGAAAAATAATTCCGTCGCTTATCTCGCGCGTCGATCGAATCTCTATCGCGTCTCCTCTCTCGCGGTATCCATCGGATCACCTGCCGAGAGCGCGAGCTGGCACGCAGGCAGACAGGCAAGCCGTACCGAGTCAAGCCAAGCAGGCAGGCAAGCAAGCAAGCAAGCAAGCAAGCAGGCAGGCAGGCAGGCAGGTTACCACGCGCGCGGCGTGCTGTAGCGCCAAGAAAAATCTCGCGGGGCGTATCACGACAAAGGCGGAGAGCTCGTAAAGCGGTAAAGGAAATAATTGAACACCTGCGCGCCGAGGCGGGCTTAATTCAATTAGCCCGCCCGACAAATGCCCGACACTTTCTTTGTGCGCCCGATGTAAATTTTACAAACGGCTTTGCGGGCCTCTAGCGTAAATCTGGATACGACGACCGACGCGCACCACGGCCGCAGGAACCTCCGTGGATATCTCGAGATAAAGTGTCATTAAGTGTCTTAATTCTGTAACATCGCGCGCGACCACGGGATGGTAACTGAACTTTCTAACCGCGGTCGCGTTCAAGCGTTCAGGACCGACTTACGCGCGCGACC